CCTCTCCCACTCTCCCTGCTTGTGTTCCCTCTCTCACTGTGTCTCTCTCTCAAATAAATAAATAAAATCTTAAAAAAAAAAAAAAAAAATTCGATATACCTGACTTCTACGTTTCTTTGTTGTTTATTTTTGGATTAGTATTTTGGAAGTAGGTTAATTTTCTAACCTTGATGATATGTGTGAATATCAGAAAGAAAGGTGACATGTAAATAAACAAATTAGAATGACTTAAAATACTAGTAAGAACAGTAGAGCATTTATTTTATCACTTTTCTACCCCTGTTTTTGATTTTACAAGTTCGTGGGATATGAGTAAGTTCCTGAACATTCAGTGCCGGCTGAGCAGGCTCAAATATCCTCCTTTTGCTAAAAAGTGGATCAATATTCGAAAGTCATATGGAAACTTTTACAAGGTAAAATTTCTCCATTTTATTGATTATACTGCTCTTAATGATAAATTTATTACATTTTGCATGTATGTTGTGATTTACTATAGGTGCTTTTCCACAGGAAAAGGCCATATACTTTAGTTGTAAGTTTTTATAATCCAAACATGAGGATGATCATATGAGTTTAGGAAGTTGAGCTATTTTTCTTTCAATCTGTTACCATTATTTGAATAGGTTAACTGTAAATACATGATCTTCAGGAGGGGTTTGAAACTGGGGGAGGTATTCAGTATGTGAATTGTTTGTGGAACAAATGTTCCCCACTGAATTTTAATTTTATCAAAGTTAATACATACGTGTAGTGTAAATTTTTGAGTAGTACTACAAGGCTTATGAAAAATGGCATTCATCCACGGTGGCCCTCACCAGCACTGGTTCTTACTCTCCTTACTCTCCTGAGGCAAACACTTACAACTTTTTGTAGCTGTTTCTTCCAGTATTTACCATTATACTTCTAAATGATATGTTTATCCTATTTCTTAAATTTTCAGTATGAGATATGTATGGAGTTCCTGCAGTGGAAGATGAAGATTTAGCTCTATGAGAAAGCCCCCATACCTGCATGTCCTTCCCCTCTGCATGTCTTCTTAATTAGTTACATTATCTTTATAATCAAATCATTATTCAGTGCTTCCGTTCTTGTAGCAGTGGAGAGTGTTCACAACTTCTCCCCAGATTTTTACAAGTGCCTTCAGTTGTTTTCTTATCCTGTCACTTTCCGTTCAAACTGTAAATCATTCTCTGTATTCAAAACACTCAGTGGTCCGTTTTCTTTCTTTCTTTCCGTTTCTTTTCTTTCTTTTCCTTTTTCCTTGGAGACTACCTTCCTATAGGCTTTAATCCTGTTCTAATCTGAACTATTTGTTCATCAGGCTTCTTCTAAAATCATCCCAGGAGATTCTTATCTTGCTTCTCTATCATGTGTTAGACTTTGTGTCATCTTCTTTCCTTTACAACCTCATTTTGGTGAAGCAAATCCTAAAGTAGTTTTGTGAGAAAAGGTGCTTTCCTTTAAAAACATTTTTTGTAGTTTTAACATTTTTTATTTTTTTAAAGATTTTATTTATTTATTTGACAGAGAGAGACACAGCGAGAGAGGGAACACAAGCAGGGGGAATGGGAGAGGGAGAAGCAGGCCTCCTGCTGAGCAGGGAGCCCGATGTGGGGCTCGACCCCAGGACCCTGGGATCATGACCTGAGCCGAAGGCAGATGCTTAACAACTGAGCCACCCAGGCGCCCCTAGATTTAACATTTTTTAAAGCTGAGAAACGTACATACAGAAAAGTGGAGTTTGATTGTTTTAAAGTGAAATCCCTTGTAACTTCCACTCACTTAGCTCCTTTCCTTTCTCCCAGAGGGCCCCCCCCCCATAGTTCATACTTTCATGGAAATCATTTTCTTGTTTTTCCTTATAGTTTTAATATTTGTGTGTGTATCCTTATACCATATAGTTTACTTTTGCCTCTTTTTGAACATGGTATAATTAGCATCGTACTGGCTGTATTGTTCATTTTGCTTTTTTCCTCAAGATTGTGTTTGAGATTTATTGAGGTTGTGTATATAGCTGTAGTTAGTTTATTTTATTGCTGTGGAGAATTTCATTGTGTGAATATGTAAGAGTGTATCTGTCCTTGCCATTTTGGGAGCTTTTAGGAGCAGTGGTGCTATAAACATTCTTGCACATGTCTTCTGGTGCCTTTGTGCACGCATTGCTCCAGGGTATAAACCTACGAGTAGAATTGCTGGTTCATAGGATACGTGCATCATTGACGTTAGGTAATGCAAAAGTAGTTTTCTGAGGGGGGTATACCAATTTGCACTCTCCCCAGAAGAGTGGGTGAATTTATAATTGCTCCACGTCTTTGCCAGCATCAGGTATTGCCAGACATTTTAAATGTTTATAAATCTGGTGGATGTGGGATGCCTTCTCATTAAGGTTCTAATTTGTATTTGCCTAATTACTCATGAGGTGGAGCTTGAGCTTGTTTTCCATTCGAATTTATTTTGTGAAGTCCCTGTTTAAATCTTCCCATTTGTAAAAATTGGGTGGTCTGTCCTTTTGTAATTGTAGATTATAATTTGTGATTGTTTATAGATATTTATCTTGGATACTAGTCCTTTGATTATATTTAGTAAATTTTTTTTTCCTTTTTTGTGAATTTATCTTTTCACTCATTTTGTGATTTTTCAAAACAATTTCTGTTACGGAAAATTACAAACATATACAAAAGTTGACAGGTATAATGAACCTTCATGACCCAGTTTTAATAGGTATAAGCTCATGGCCAACCTTGTTTCATCTGTATCTCTACCCACTTTCCCCTTTCCTTACTCTTTTGAAGCAGATCTCAAATGTTATTTCATTTGATCTGTGAACATGTCATTATATAGCTCCAAAAAATAAGGAACTGTTTTAAAAAACATAACTATCATACCATCATCACACTTAGAAAAAAATCAATAGTAATCCCTTAATATTATCAAATGGTCATAGTTTTCTTTTTAAATTTAATTAGTTAATTTTTAAAATTGAAGTGTAGTTGACATTTACTAGTTTCAGGCGTACAACATAGTGATTGGACAGTTCTGTACATTATGCCATGCTCACCACGATATGTGTTACCATCTGCTAGCATACAGCATTATTACAGTATTATTGACTGTATCCCTGTGCTGTACTTTTCATCCCTGTGACTTTTTTTTATCACTGGGAGTTTATACCTCTTAATCCCCTTCACCTCTTTTTTTTCCTTTTACCTTTTGTGATTTGAATCAGGATCAGAATAAGGTCCATACATTTAAAGTTGGTTGACATGTCTCTTTTAAGTTTTTTAATCTCTAAATTCCTTTTCCACCTCCTTTTTTTTCTCTAGTGATTTATTGTTATTATTTTAAGAAATGGAACCATTTTGGGACGCCTGGGTAGCTCAGTCGGTTAGGCGTCTGCCTTCAGCTTGGGTCATGATCCCAAGGTCCTGGGATCGAGTCCCGCAAAGGGGTCCTTGCTCAGGGGGCGCCTGCTTCTCCCTCTGCCTGCCACACGCCCTGCTTGTGCTCTTTCTCTCTGACAAATAAATAAAATCTTTTTTTTTTTTTTTTAAAGATTTTTTTTTTATTTATTTGAGAGAGAGAGAATGAGAGACAGAGAGCACGAGAGGGAAGAGGGCAGAGGGAGAAGCAGACCCTCTGCTGAGCAGGGAGCCTGATGTGGGACTTGATCTCGGGACTCCAGGATCATGACCTGAGCCGAAGGCAGACGCCCAACGACTGAGCCACCCAGGCGCCCTAAATAAATAAAATCTTTAAAAAAAAAAAAAAGGGAAAGAAAGAAATGGAGCCATTTTTCCATTTTCCCACTGTCTGGCTTTTGCTAATTGTGTCCTGTGATATTAATTCAAATGTGCCTCTATCCTCTGTGTTTCATGTAAATTTGTAGGGGCTCAGTCATCTTTAGGTTTGCTTTTTTTTTTTCCTATACCTCCCAGGTGACAATGCATTCTTACATTAGGGTGTCTTTCTCAAACCTTTAACTCTATTTATTCTAAGGATAATTATTAATAATTAATAAAGCCATAAAATAATTTTCAAGTCTGCATAAAAACATGCACAGCTCACAATACATTAGAGTGTTCAGAAAGTTGTAGATACAGTAAGGCAATAACATTGCCAGTGCTCTTTTAAGTAGAGTAGTATTTTTTATTTTTTTTTGAGAATAGTATTTTTTTTGTGGATCTGTTTATGTTGACCAATTTGTTAGGCTGCTCTTTTCTTTTTTCTTTTTTAGAGATTATATTTATTTATTCGCCAGAGAGAGAGCGCGCGCCCAAGCAGGGGAGCGGCAGGCAGAGGGAGAAGCAGATTCCCTGTTCAGAAAGGATAGGCTGCTCTTTTCTATGTGGTTTTCCCCTGCTCCTAATAGTTAATCAGCTCTAATGCCAATTAGTGGAAGTTGAGTAAATGTAACATTTTTTCTTTTTAAAATGTTTTCTTCTTTTGTTTTGTTTTGTTTTCCTTACTCAAGTAGGCCTAAAAGTCTTGACACAAATTTTTACTATATAGGATGCTAACAATGTATAGTCTTTGGCATGTACAAAGTATTCTTTTCTCCTTTTTAAAACTAAAAATGACTTTTTAACCAACCTTTCTTGGGAGTGGAGATCATTAAATTTGAAGTTACCTCTTTCCTTTTCATACGTTTAAGAAACTTATAGGGCAAGCATAATACTTTTCTGTTTAATAGCTGGCTTAAACTTAAAGTGGGTTTGATTTTTCTGTAAGTAGGCTGAAACAATATGAATAAAAATACAGGCTATAGACACAATTTTATACTAGATTTTAGAAAATAAACTTATGTATGGTATCATACTCCAGTGTAGGTTCATCATTTATAAAATTATACAAACATGTTTATTTCTTTAGTAGTTCTGTATATGCATTAAAATGTCATTTTTGAAGTAAAAGTGAAGAATGAAATATACTTTGGGAAGGCAAAAGCTATGTTTGTTTTTGTCTTTTTTTTTTTCCTGTACAAATACTCAGTTCTGGGTTGGATTTGAGATAAGTTCTCATGGATTTCGTTTTCCACTGAAAATGGACACCTTCTACCCTTGCTCTTCATCTTGTTAAATAAGAAGAGGCTTACTTACGCATATAAAAGGTTGAAATCCGTGGCAAAATGTTCATTGCTTTTCTATGAATGACTGGACTGTCTTCTTTTGCAGAAATCTGCAGCTATTCTAAAGGCAGATCAGTAAATCTCATCCCTAGAGTATGATCAGACTGTACATTACAAAGCTCTTTTCAGAGTCAGGTTCTGTGGCTGAGCAGAAGATTCTGAGAAACAGGGTTTTGGGTTTTTTTGGTTTTTTTAACCTGGTCGTACTCTGTGTTCAAAGGGAAGAAAAATACTGTCTAATTTTCTACATTTTTTTCCAGATGGCTTTCAGTAGGTCTTGAGACTTGCAAATAACTTTTCTCACTGTCAAGCCCAAGCAAAAGTGTGAACATCTAAGGTTTTTTTTGCAATATGATTTTTCCGAAGACTCAATTTTCTTCAAAATCCAAGAATCTTGTCACTGGAAATTAAATGTTTTTTACAGGGTCTTACAGAGATTTCTTCAATCGGTTTATGTAATGAAATGTCTAGGCTAGTTTTTGTAGCTTTTCTTCAAACCACTCAGCAAATTTTGGCCTACTGTTTTCCTACCATTCACTTTTCAAGTCAGTCATCTTGCTGAGAACTTTTCCTCGCCAGGCCAGAGGAAGTGTGAGGTTTATGTGTTCTTTATCCAGGTTTTCACACAGCTATTAAGTTTTAGACATGATTGAGTGAATTGGCCTTTGTTTAACAGAGTTAATCATTTTTCTGGCACTATCCAGGACTTTTCATGTTATCTCTGATTCATTTGCAAAATATGCATAACAAATTTTACCATTTTAACCATTAAGTACACAGTTTAGTGTCAATAGGAACATTCATACTGTCGTGGAACAATCACCACCATTCATTTCCAGAGCTTTTTCATCTTCCAAAACTGAAAATATACCTTTTAAAGAGTGACTCTATTCCCCCTTCCTTTGGCCCCTGGTAACCACCATTCTGCTTTCTGTCTGTGAATTGTACCACTCTAGGTATTTCATATAACTGGAATTATACAGTATTTGTCCTTTTGTTACTGGCATATTTCACTTAGCATAATGTCTTCAAGATTCATACGTGTGGTAGCATGTGTCAGAATTTCCTTCCTTTGTAAAGCTAAATAATAATTCCGTTGCTTGAGAAGTTCCTTCCTTTTGAAGGTGGAATAATATTTCATTATATTTATATCACATTTTGTTTATCCATTCATCTGTTGTTAGATACTTGGGTTCTTCCACCTTTTGGCCGTTGTAAATACTGCTCCAGTGAATGTGGATGTGCAAATAACTGAGTCCCTGCTTTCAGTTCTGTGGGTATATACCCAGAAGTGGAATTGGATCATACGGTAATTCTGTGTTTCATTTTTTGAGAAACTTCCATGTCACAGCAGCGGCACCATTTTACATTCTCACCAGCAATGCACAAGGGTTCCAGTTTCTCTGCATCCTTGCCAACACTTATTTTCCATTTTCTTGCCCTTTTTTAAAAAATAATGGCCATCTAATGGGTATGGAGTGGTATCTCATTGTGTTACTGATTTGTACTTCCAGAATGATTAGTAATGTTGAGCAGCTTTTTGTGTGCTTATTGGCCAGTTGTATGTGTTTGGAGATATGTCTGTTCAAGTCCTTTGACCATTTTGAAATCAAGTCTGTTTTTTTTTTTTTTAATTACTATTGAGTTTTAGGAATTCTTTTTTTTTTTTTTTAAGATTTTATTTATTTATTTGAGAGAGAGAGAGCAAGAGCAGGAGGGAGGTGTAGAGGGAGAGGGAGAAGCAGACTCCCCGCTGAGCAGGGGATCATGACCTGAGCTGAAGACAGACGCTTAAGCTTAACCGACTGAGCTATTCAGGTGCCCAGGAGTTCTTTATATATTCTGGATGTTAATCCTTTTTCAGATCTATGATTTCCAAATATTTTCTTCCATTCTTTGGGCTGCTTTTCTCTATTGATAGTGTGCCATTTGATATACAAAAGTTTTAAATTTTTAGGAAGTCCAGTTTATCTGGTTTTTCTTTTGTTGTCTCTTTTGGTGTTGTATCCAAGAAACCGTTGCCAAATCCAGTGTCATGAAAGTTCTCCCTTAGGTTTTCTTCTAAGAATTTTATAGTTTGGACTCTTAGGTTTAGGTCTTTGATCCATTTTGAGCTAATGTTTTATTAGTGATTGCTTTGAATTTATAGATCATGTTGGATAATTATTGATAGCTGAACAATATTAAATCTTTCAATTTATGAACACAGATATCTTCCCATTTATGTTGTCTTTAATTTCTTTCAGCAACATTTTGTAGTTTTTGATGTACAAGTCCTTCACCTCTTTGGTTAAATTTTTTTTTTTTTTGCTACTGAAAAGGAATTGTTTTCTTAATTTCCTTTTTGGATTCTTCATTGTTAGTGTATAGAAATGCACCTGACTTTTGTGTGTTGATTTTGTATCCTGTGATTTTGCTATCTTTGCTTATTAGTTCTGGCAGTTTTTTGGTGGAATCTTCAGGACTTTCTGCATATAAGATCATGACACCTGCAAACAAAGATCACTTTACTTCTTCCTTTCCAATTCAGATCCCTTTTATTTCTTTTTCATGCCTACTTGTTCTGGTTAGAATTTCTGATACTATTTTGAATGGAAGTGGTGAAAGTGAGCATCCCTATCTTGTTCCTGATCCTAGAGGAAAAGCTTTCAGCCTTCTCACCATTGAATATGATGTTCACTCTAAATTTTTTTATATAGACTTTATTATTTTGAGGTAGTTTTCTTCTGTTCCTAATTTGTTGAGTATTTTTATCATGAAAGGGTGTTTATTGTCAGATGACTTTTTTGCATCAATTGAGGTGATCATGTGTTTTTTCCCTTCATTCTGTTAATGTGGTTTGTTATATTATTTTTTGTATGTTGAACCATCCTTGCTTTCCAAGAATAAATTTCACTTGGTTGTGGCATATAATACATTTAGTATGCCACTGAATTTGGTTTGCTAGTATTGTTGAGGATTTTTGCATCAGTATTTATAAGGGATAATGGTCTCTAGTTTTCTTGTAGTGTCTTTGGCCTTGGTATCCGGATAATGCTAAGCTCATCAAATGATTTAGGAAGTGTTCCTTCCTCTTCAGTTTTTTGCAAGAGTTTGAGAAGGGTTGGTGTTAAGACTTATTTAAATGTTTTGTAGAATTCACCATTGAAGCCATCCTGTCCTGGGCTTCTCTTTGTTGGGTGGTTTTTGATTACCAGTTCAGTCCTCCTTACTTATTGTAGGTCTGTTCATATTTTCTGTTTTCTTCATGATTCAGCCTTGGTAGGTTGTGTGGGTCTAGGAATAGTCCATTTCACCTAAGTTGTTCAATGTGTTGGAAAAGTTATTTTTGCAAGCACATTTTTCTAGGTGATACTTAGCAAAAGGACCAGAATGCATTGCGGTATTACAATAGGATAATTATTGATGTTTATCCTGGTGCTTTTATATCATTTGCTTTGTGATTCTCTCGATAACCCAGTGAGTAAGGAGTGTAACTATTAGTCTTATTTTACAGATGAAGAACTTGAGGCCCCAAGATGTATAGGTGACATAGCTATACAAACTACAGAATATAAAACTTAACATATACAGAAGGTAGAATAGTGGTTCTCAAAAGTGGAGGGGCATATTGGAATCTGGGGAGTGAGATTTTTACATTTATTAAATTGGAGCAGGTATTTAAATAGGTTGAAAAGTACCACATGATAATTTCTTTCATGCTGGATCTTAATTATCTTTAGTCGTAGAAAGGCTAGATTTTTTTTTTTTTTTTTTTTTTTGGTGTATCTGTCTAAGGAGTCTGTCAAATAAAATAATACATCATAGTAAAATACCATGGAAAAGAATGTTCGGGTTAAAATGGTAGAGCTTTGGGGTGCCTGGGTGGCTCAATTGGCTAAGTGTCCGACTCTTGATCTTGGCTCAGGTCTTGATCTCAGGGTTGTGAGTTCAAGTCCTGTGTTAGGCTCCATGCTGGGCAGGAAGCCTACTTTAAAAAAAAAATAGTAGAGCTTCAACTTAGATGTCCAGAGCAATACATTTCCCTTCATAAATGATTTGTCAAATTACAAAACTGCAGACTCTTTAGATGTCTTGAGGATTCTACCTATTTGTATGTATTTTCATCTCTAACTTAAGATAATTTTTTTAAAGCTCTGAAGGTTTGAGTTATAAGAGTATTTGTCTTTTGCCTAACTTTAGCTATTACTGTTAATTTTCATTTTATTTTTCATAGTGACTTACAGAATACTAAAGAATTATTTACTAAGCTGTTTATTTTCCAGGTTCCTAGAAGCCAAACCAAATTGACAATAATGCTTGAAAAGCTAGGAATGGATTATGATGGGCGGCCTCACAGCGGTCTTGACGACTCTAAGAACATTGCCCGAATAGCAGTTCGAATGCTTCAAGACGGATGTGAACTCCGAATTAATGAGAAAATGCATGCAGGACAGCTGATGAGTGTGTCTTCTTCATTACCAATAGAGGGCACTCCAGCTCCACAAATGCCACATTCTAGAAAATAACAGCATTTTTGCCCTTTGCCCATGGATCATTCACTCTAACTGGAGTTGCTACAAAGAGTTAGCAGATGAATACTTATTGAATTAGTCCTGCGGTGCAAAATTTAAGCACCTTAAACATTTACAATCTTACTACAGTTACAGTTATATATAAATGTGTGTGAACAGATTCTGTGGGGAGGGCATATTGAATTTTTTGTCACCAGCACTTTTGATATGAGCAGTATTTGTTACACAGTAACAGTTCCTGCTTAGAATTGACTTTTATAATTTAAGGTGTCCAAGATATGTCCCTTTTGGTTTTAAAATGCAAAGGCTTATTGGCACTCCCCTTGAATGTCATATCTTAATGATATTAAAATACATAATGTATTTCTACATTAACATCATTAGATCGAGTCATTTCTTACAGTGCAGGAAAGATTGGAAGGCCTTGTCTAGCCTTTGGGTTTTAAGAATATCCCAGTCCTTTTGGTTTTTGAATTCTGTATGTGAAGTTCAGCTGTGCATGGTGAATTTCATAAAGTACTTGGTACACATATTTGCCTACATTTCTTTTCAATTTGTAGTTGGAAGACTTTTGGTGGATTATAGGGTCTTGTTAAGAATTCAGTTACTGGTGAGGTTAATAGAAAGTCAGAAGAAAATTCCATTTGAAGGAATATAAGGGCTGTAGCTCAAACTTTATAACACATAAACATATCCATGGGGTTTTTTGGACTTCATTTTTTTGGTTCCCCTCCCTCTTGTGACACAAATCTGCCCTAATTCTTAAATCTAAGAAACCATGCTTTGAAATAGACTAAAAATAAGGGTCACCACTTAATTTTGCATTTGTATTCAACATTATGAGTAGGTAATAAAGTCAAGTAATGCTTTTTAACATATCTTATGTTTTTATTACAGGTTGATTTTACATAGTGACCACTAAATGTTGAATAGTTAATTCTTAACTAATTCTAAAAACATAAGTGAGTTTATGGAGTTGAAAAAGCAAAACTGTTATCTAGAAGGTAAAAATACTGAATTTCTCCCTATAGCTTTCATGAACAATTTGCTTCTTCTCTTTTCCTTTATTTATTTATTTATTTTTATTTTTTATTTTTTTTAAAGATTTTTATTTATTTGAGACAGAGAGAATGAGATACAGAGAGCATGAGAGGGAGGAGGGTCAGAGGGAGAAGCAGACTCCCTGCCGAGCAGGGAGCCCGATGCGGGACTTGATCCCGGGACTCCAGGATCATGATCTGAGCCGAAGGCAGTCGCTTAACCAACTGAGCCACCCAGGCGCCCCTCTCTTTTCCTTTATATTAGTAGTTGTGCTGCTACTTTATTTTAATGATTTATATATTAACTAAATGAATTTTATAGAAGCTTCCAGCCCTGGTGCATAGGAAAAAAGGAGGCATTTTTCTTGGTCTGAGAATTCTTTCCACAATGCTGTAGAAAGAATGAATTTTGCCTTTGAGCGGTAGTTGTAGAATAAGAATAAAGACTAACAAGTAGGTAACAGAAGGCACAAGGGAATGTGATGCCCTTAGACAAACCGATATGGATTATAGTAAAACAAGGAAATCTAGGTGTTTTACATTTATGTAGTAAACTTTGGGGGTGAAATGGATATATGCTGAAATTTTTGTGAATCCTAAATAGCACCATATAATATACTATAAAGTATTGCTGAAAATTTCAGAGAATTTCCTTCAAATCCTTACTGAGTTGGGCCAGGGCAGAGTAGTAGAGAACAGCACATCACTGTTGAGATGTGGATGCCAGGAGGTCCACTGGCACACTTTTTAGGTGATTTTTTTCCACGTAGCCACCTTAACCTTAGAAATCCAAATTCATGCTACAGCAAAACCGTAATTATCTGTTGCCAGCTTCTGTAGTTGCTCGTCAGTAGCTAAAATTGCAGTGGGGAAATCTGATTTGGGCAAGGAAATATTCCCTCTTGTTTTGTTTGTTTTTAAGTCAGACTTCTAATTTCTGGGCCGATTTTTCCTTTTTGCAAAATAGCCCAAGTACTGACAAACTCCTCTTGTATTTCTTTTTAAGGCTTTCAGCATTACAAGTTGTCAGTATCCTTTTGGCTCAGTCAGATATTTTATTTGGTGATGTTTTACTGTTCTCATTTTTTTAAAAACTGTTGAGGAATAATTGACAAATGTCGGTGTATATATTTAAAGTGTAAATGTGATGATTTGGTGTATGTTGTGGAATGATTACCAAGATCACATCACTTCATATAGTTAACTTTTTTTTTTGTGGTGGTGAGAATGCTTAAGGTCTACTCTCAGCAGCTTTCAAGTATACGAAACCATAGTCGGCACTGCTGTACATTAGAGCCTAAGAACTTACTCTTCTTATGACTGAAAATTTGTACCCTTTGACCTATATTAGCCCATCTCTTCCATCCCCAGCCCTTGGCAACCACCATTCTGTTATGTTTCTATGATATTAGCTTTTTTTTTTTTTTTTTAAGATTCTGCATATAAGTGATACCATGCAGTATTTGTCTTTGTCCATCAGCCTTATTTCACTTAGCTCTCCAGGTTCATTCACACTGCTGCAAATGACAGGATTTCCTTTTTCTTTATGGCTGAATAATAATCCATTGTATATGTACTATTTGTTTCAAGATATTTTTTGAGTTCTCTTGATTTCTTCTTTGATCCATTGGTTCCTCAGAAGTGTTTTGTTTAATTTCCACATATTTGTGAACTTTTCCAGCTTTCTTCCTATCATTGACTTGTAGTTTTATACCATTGTGGTCAGAAAGATAGTTGATATGATTTCAGTCTTCTTAAATTTTTTGAGACTTATTTTGTGACCTAAGATATGATCTATCTTGGAGAGTGTTACGTGTGTGCTTGAGAAGAACATGTATTCTGCTGCTGTTGGTTGAAATATACTATATATGTCTGTTAGGTTCATTTGGTCTAAAGTATCACTCAAGTCTATTATTTCCTTATTGATTTTCTGTCTGGATGATCTGTCCATTGTTAAAAGTGGGCTATTGAAATCCTCTACCATTATTGCATTGCTTTCTATTTTTGCCTTCAGAACTGTTAATAATTGTTTAATATATTTAGGTGCTCAGTATTGGGTACATAAATAATTGTTATATCCTCTTGATGAAGTGGCCCTCATTTGTTGCAGTTTTTGAGGTAAAGTCTGTTTTGTCCAATGTAAGTATAGCTACTTTATTCTCTTTTGTTTTCCATTTGCATAGAATATCTTTTCCTATGCCTTTACTTTTAGCTTATGAGTGCCCTGAAAGCTTAAGTGAGTCTCTTAATGGCAGCATATAGTTAGGTGTTGTTTTTATATGCATTTAGCCACTCTATTTCTTTTAATTGGAGAATTTAAACCATTTACCTTTAGAGTAATTATTGATAGATAGGGACTTAGTATCTCCATTTTGTTAATTACTTTTGATTGTTTTGTAGTTCCTTTTTTCCTTTCTTCCTTTCTTTGTGCGTTGATGGTTTTTTGTAGTGGTATGCTTTCTTTTTATCATTTGTGTATCTATTATAGGCTTTTGCTTTGTGATTACCATGAGGCTTTCATAGTATATCTCATAGTTACAACAACAGTCTTGTGTAAGCAAGCTGACAACAACTGAACTCAAAAGTTAAGCATTTCTTTAGCATTTCTTGTAAGGCAGGTCTAGTGACAAATTCCCTCAGTTTTTGGTAGTCTGGGAAAGTCTGTATCTCTCCTTCATTTCTGAAGGACAACTTTGCTAGGTAAAGTATTCTTGGTTGACAGTTGACAGTTTTTTCTTTGAGCACTTAGAATATATCATCCTATACTCTCCTGGCCTACAAGGTTTCTGCTGAGAAATCAGACTTTTTTCTTTTGCTGCTTTCAAAATTCTCTTTTTCTTTGATTTTTGAGATTTTTTTTTTATTATATGTGTCTCAGTAAAGATTTCTTTGGGTTGAATCTATTTGGGGATCTTTGAGTTGGATGACCATATGTCCCCAGATTTGGGAGATTTTCAGCCATTATTTCTTTAAGTCAATTTTCTATCTCTTTCTCTTTTTCTCTCCCTCTGGGACTCCCATAAAGCAAATATTGTTTCACTTGATGATCCATAGTTCAAGTAAGCTTTCTTTACTCTTTTTTTTTTTTTAATGTATTTACATGAATAATAGTTTTTAAGGATTTATTTATTTGAGAGAGAGTATGATTAGGGGGAGGAACAGGGGGAGAGAATCTCAAGCAGACTCCCCACCAAGCATGGAGCCCAGTGCGGGGCCTGATCCTAGGACCCTGGGATCATGACCTGAGCCAAAATGAAGAGTCAGCCACCTAACCTCCTGAGCCACCCAGGCGTCCCTATGAATGATATTTTTTTTAAAGGTGTGGCGGGGGGCACCATTTAAACCTGGTGAGGCAAGCATTAACAATCCTACTTGCTGAATTGTGAAGCTAAATTCAGTGGCTGAAACAAAGACATTCTACTGTTTGGTAGGAATAAAATCCAGGTCCCCGGGCGCCTGGGTGGCTCAGTTGGTTAAGTGACTGCCTTTGGCTCAGGTCATGATCCAGGAGTCCCAGGATCGAGTCCCACATCGGGCTCCCTGCTCGGCAGGGAGCCTGCTTCTCCCTCTGACCCTCCCCCCTCTCATGTGCTCTCTGTCTCTCTCATTCTCTCTGTCTCAAAAAAAAAAAAAATCCAGGTCCCCTTTTCCAGGTCTTAGGGCCTATAAGAACATAAAAGTTCTGCCCTTCAGTCCTGTGGGCCCAGAGCAGGGGCATCCAGTGGTTGCTGGGTGTGGATTGCAAAGAGAAGTGTGACCTGCACACACCAAGATTGAGGGTAGAGAA